CAATAGCAAACATATTAAACTTAACTTTATTTTAATTATCTCTTTAAGCTTTTACCTACCGTTTTATAGATTATAATACTTATATATATATATATATATATATATATATATATATATATATATATATATATATATATATATATATATAATAAGTGTGTATTTCAAAAAAAAAGAAATGCACATATTGCTTTTTTATTGTGTAGGGAGTTCCAGTGTCTAACTAGGTATACGTGTGTTTGGTTATAATTTATATATATAAATTTAACAATGGTGTTATTAAAGGAGTCTTAAGTCAACACTCGAGCGTTTAATTTGTCTCGTCATTACAATTCTAAAAATTGAGAAGAATAAAAGTGTTTTAGTGGAAGATTCTGTGAGAGCGTGGCCCTTCTCCGGTCGGGCCGATCCATTCGTACCACAACTATACTACTAATATAGCTACAGCATTGCTCTACTACGTGTAAAACGCGTAACAAAAGCCTATTTACTCCTGTCTCGTAGACGCCCAGATTCTAATTCGGAAGAAAAGACAAAAGACGGCAGAATATTCCACTTCTTTGCTGTATGCATTACTAATAAAATAATCAGTAGAACACTTTCTTCAGATAATTCTTTTAAAGTTAATATTTTTAAAAAATATCCTTAGAAAAATAAGCGTATATTAATATGCAATAGTAGTCATTACCACTCTTTGTAGCTACTTAAATAAAGGAGATTTAGCGAAAATATTTTCAATTCTATCGCAAATAATAATACAAAAAATAAAAATAATATAACATTTTTTGACACTCGAACTAACAAGTGTAGAAACGAATTATTAAGTGAGATTGGGGTCAGAATTTTTTTGTTGTATTTTCTAGTATGGGCTGTAATTTTTTGCTTAAATGTCGTTAAACTTAATATTTAACGACATTTAAGCCAAATTCAAGAAAACAAAATGAGAATTATTATATAGTCCACTGAAACAATAAATATATACAAGCAGAGACATTCTTTACGCAATTTGTACATATGAATATAATTAAAGCGTTTGAATGCAATATTGAAGGTACTGGCTTTTTTTATATAGGATAGGGTGACCAACGAGCACACAGTTCACCTGATGGTAAGTGGTTGCTGTAACCCATAGACATCTACATTTTTCCTCGATTACGAATCAAAATGCAGATGCCTTGTCACCCGTGGGGACTAAGATGTAATGCCTCGTTTTCGGTAAAAATGTCTCCGGAAGTATGCGATATGATGTATGATAGAGGAATAGATGTGTTATGCGTAAATGAGACGAAAAGGAAGGGGAAGGATGTCACTACACATGGCATGTATACCGCATACTGGTCTGGTGTAGACGAGATCGAGCGGGCATGCCAGGGAGTAGGTATCATCCTTTCAGAAAGAATGGGCCAATGTGTGAAAGAGTATGAATGTGTAATCCCAAGACTGCTATGAAAGTGGTGAATAAAAGTGGGCTTAAAGAAGTTGTTTGTGTGATGGGTCTACGCCCCAGACATGTCTAAGCCCACTTAAATCCGAGAGCAGTTTTGGGAAATGGTAAGGATGGTGTTAGCGATAATGATATTATTATGCTAGGAGATTTTAATGGAAGGGTTGGGGTCAGGAGGCTTGGTTATGAAAGGATATTTGGAACGTTTTGTGATGAAAGTATAAATGAGAATGGTGAAAGTCTCTTCATCGTATGTATGGAAAAGAATCTTTTTGTGACGAACACTTGCTTTCGCCACAAGAGGATTCACATGTATACTTGGGAAAGAGGTGACGATAGAAGCATGATAGATTTCATAATTGTGGATGAAAGATTGAGGGGCGCAGTGGTAGATACGAGAGTTTACCGGGGTTCTAACGTCGGAACGGATCATTATTTAGTTTTATGCCGAATTAATGGTCTATTCAGGCGTTGGCGCCATCGATCGTCTGTGTCTACCACTGCGTTACAGCGTATTAGAACAGAAAGTTTACAAGATGAAAGTGATGAAAACAAGTTCAAATGTAGACTGAAAGAAAATATAAGTGGTTTGGATGAATTATGTATGAAGAAGTTACTCTTGGAGAATATATGGCAAAATGTAAAGAAAGGTTTAGTGGATGCAGCTACCGAAGTATGTGATGTTAGTAAGAGAAAGAATGAAAGGAAAAATAATACGTTATGGTGGGATGATGAGATACGTATGGAAGTTGAAGCAAAGAAGAGAGCATGGCTAGATTTACTAGCAACAAAGGCTGCTAATTCTAGTGGTACGAATGGTGATATTGAAAGAAAAAAGGCAGTCTTTAGACACCTTAATAAGAGATTAAAAGAAGTATTTGAAAGAAAAAAGCAAGAAAGAATCGGATAACTTCCAGGCAAATATTAAAAATGTTCTGGAAACTTGTAAGAACTGCCAGGGGACATTCAAAACAGCCTATGATGAATGCTATAAGAGATGAGAATGGCTATATTCTGAATGATGAATGAATTTTGAGTTTAAAGAGATGGAAGGAATATTTTAAAAGCGTGTTTATGAAAGAGGAGACAACGTGTGTACTAAGTGTAGTAGAAATACCGAAAGAAGAGGAAAGAGGTAGCGAGATAAGTATAGATGAAATAATGAAAGCAATGAAAAGCATGAAAGCAGGTAAGGCTGCTGGATATGATAGAGTTTCACTCGAAATGCTAAGGGCTGGAGAGGAAGTGGTGGCAGGCCTGCTGCACACCTTGTTTAATTTATGCTGGGAACTGAAGCGGGTACCGGTGGACTGGTGCAAAGCCGTGATAGTCCCAGTATATAAAGGAAGAGGGTCGCAGCAGGACTGTTAAAACTACCGTGGCATCAGCCTTCTTAGCATTATGGGAAAACTGTATGCTAAGGTACTGATTGAAAGGGTCATGAAAGAAACTGATGAAAAAATTTGGGATGTGCAAGCGGGATGTAGAAAGGGAATGGGATGTACAGATCAAGTCTTTTCCATGCGCATGATCGCGGAGAAGTTTCTGGCCAAAAACCAAAAGGTTTTTTGTGCGTTCATGGACTTGGAAAAGGCCTATGACAGAGTGGATAGGGATGTGCTATGGCAAACACTGAACTCATTTGGGTTGAGCGCTGGCTTGATACAGGCACTGGAGTCTCTTTATAGGGACTCTCGTGCTTGTGTTAGGATCAACGTGGTCTACTCGGACTGGTTTGACGTCCATAAAGGTATCAGACAGGGCTGTGTGGCTTCCCCGTGGCTGTTCAACCTATTTATGGACAGTTGTTTGCAAAATTTGAAAGTTGAAGAATGCGGATTAAGAATGGGTGAGTTAACCATCAAATGTCTTTTGTACGCCGATGATCAAGTTATTCTTGCGTCGTCGGCGGCCGAGTTGCAAATGATGGTTACATTAATGAACGGATCATTAAAAGAAAGGGGTATGAAAGTGAACGCAAGTAAGACGAAGGTTATGGTTTTTGAAAGAGAAGAAAGTAAAACGATTTGTGAAATAAGAATAGAAGGGGAGTTGATCGAGCAAGTAGATGAGTTTGTATATTTGGGCTGCGTATTTATCAGGGATGGGAGATATGATAAGGATATAGAACGACGAGTAAATGCGGGAAATAGAGTAAATGGGGTCTTGCACTCTATTGTTAAGAGTTAAAATATGTCGAAAAAGGCACGTATGGCAATTCACAATGCTGTGTTGGTCCCTACTTTAACGTATGTTAGTGAAAGTTGGGTGTGGCGGAAGAAGCACGAGAGTAGAATAAACGCAGTAGAAATGCGGTCGTTAAGGAGTATGTTAGGGTTGAATCTGAATGACAGGGTAAGAAATTGTGTAATAAGAGAATAGTGTGGTTTGCAAGATGATGTTGTGACCAGGATTAAGAAAGAAATGCTTCGGTGGTTTGGTCATGTGGAAAGAATGAATGAGGAAAGAGTGACAAAGAAAATTTATGATGCAGAGTGAATGGCAGAGTCGAAAAGGGACGTCCTAGACGAAAATTTATCGACCAAATTGGCGATTTATTGAAAACGGGCCAAATTAGGAGTACCCTTAACCGACGAGCATGTATGCGTAGGTGTATGGATGTGAAGGAGGCAAGAGAAGTGTGTCAGGATCGTGCCAAATGGAAGTCTGTAGTCTCTGCCTACCCCTCTGGGTGACAGGCGTGAGTGTTTATGTATATTATGTATGTCTCCGGTTCTCTACACTCACCATACGAAACACAGCAGCATTAAGCCACTATTTTAGGCTAGTATTCTGTGAGAGGTTGGTCCTTCCCCGGTCAAGCCGACCCATTCGTGCTACAACTATACTTCTAATATATAACTGCAGCATGGCTCTACCACGTAAAAAAACTGCGTACATGCAGGGTGCGAGCGATGAATCTTATAATAGTAAATAAAAATAAAATAAAAGCAATTTTATTTTGCACTTGGGATTGCTTTCATTATACTTACAGGCACACTACTATAACGGTTAAAAACAGTCACACTTGCCCAATGTTGGGGAAAATTTATTGTTACACAAAAATGGACGTTCAAATCGTTTCCTAGACCATAAAATATATCGACGTTAGTATCATCTCATCAATTTTGTTGAAAACTACAGATAATAATAAAGTAACTACAAAAAGAAGCGTACTGTCACATTTGCCCCATTGATGGGTATGTGACAGTCTTCCACCTCAATTAGTTTTAATTACCTCAAATTACGAAATGCTACTTGTAGACACTAAAATGCTTGATCAGACATACAACCACTTAATAATTGATGTTATGACACTGAATTCTCTATATTAAATCCTTACAGAGTAGAAATATTTAAATTTCCATTATAGTTTTAATTAATTTATGTCAAACATGCCCCAGGTGACCTTATAGTGTCTTTATTTTCTTAATATAATTATTTAAAAATTCGGTTGCTATTTCTAATAGACCTCTTGTAGATGTTATTATATTGTTATGTATTGTTTTTAATTTCACTATTCAATTTTTGAATGTCTATAGTCTGGAATATGACTTACCAGGAGTAGTTGGCAATGGTGATGGTGGATTCACATCATTTGCTCCAATAGCGGCTAGAAAAAAAAATACAATTAGATTACAAAAATGTTTAATCTAAATATATAATATTGCAACCTGATTGAAACTTCTTTTTGCTTCCCCTCCCAGTTGCCACCGCTTGCCATCGGATGGGCTGTAAGCGTATTTATATATTTATTTAATTAAATAGAATATATCCAGATCTGCAAACCAGGAATTTATATTTATAGATATTTTGAACCCAGGTCAAGAATATGATCCAGTAATAAACTTTGAGATCGTCAAAGCAATTATTGAGTTTAGAAATCTCTCATGTACGTACCGAGTCTGTAGTTCTAATATTTTCGGGAAAAATCATGTCAAAAGGGCTTAATAGAAAATGCCACCGTTACCAGTACAGTCTGTTAAAGTCTACTGATGAATATAGGCCTCCCCCATAGATTGCCTCATAAGGCGAATATTTTTCATAGTGTAGCAAGCAGGTTGGCCACTTCAGCTTCTTTTTATTTTTAGCCGTTGTCAGAAAAACGCTGTTGTCCATCTCTTGATTCCCTCTGTGACTTCTTTCTACACCCACGAGATGAGATAGGGTAGTGAATTCTTATGTAACCACAACACGGTTGCAACAAATTATGCTACAAAGGATGGTAAAGCCGTATTAATTGTTTTAGAATTTTTGTCTTTCTGACTTCTTGTCTGCTTGTATATGTATTCACGATCCACGCAAAAACTACTGGAAGGATTTTCATAAAATTCGGTACGTACGTATTAAAGAAATTGTTCATGTTGTTGTCATCTAGTCAGATATTACATATATTCAATCGAAAAAAATACGTTTTCGTTATTTCAATAAAATGCCATAAATTATACATATTTAAAGGTGATAAATTTTCGAGAAAATCATAAAAATTAAAATATCTTAAAAACTGTTACAGGTTTATTAAAATGTTTTGGCTGTTCTCATCGGGCACAATCTCATCTCTGGACACATTTCATTTGAACTACTATTAACAGGACATTCTGTATAACTAATGAGTAGCAAATGCTAAAAATTTGTTACAATTAAATATTTTACTTCAATTCAAAACAAAACTATGACCGACTAGTTGTACGCAGGGCTTTGTACGCTTAAAATAATTTTAAGTAATTTATTATTGTATTTCCGCATTTTATAGATTTTAATTTTTATGCGCAAAAATTTAATTCGTTTTATAAAATAAAAGTAACCTTAGTTACTCCTAAGGAGCTATATGCCAGTGAAAGTTCCGTCAAATTCAGTTCAGCCCTTTTGAAGATCAGCCGGAACAAACGGTCTGTCCGTTGTCTAGACAAAAAATTTTAAATTATTTTTTTTTTTTTTTTTTTGTTATTATATATTATATACTTTCATATTCATTTAGTAAAAACTATTGTTTTGAGATACCAATCAGACACTTTAATATTATTTATTTCTATAGATGATTTTAATTTGATTTTCCTCCATTTTCAATAAAAATAAATTAAAATAATATGATTGCTAAACAAATGCGCCAAACGAGACCGGAACTTTAACGAAGACCTTCTCAATTGTTTTATTTTTTCAATGACCGGTCTGAGTAACGAAAGAGAAATTTGTAAAAACTTTGAAGATAGAATTTTTTTTATAATCGCAAGCGTATATTAATTGATACGAACTAATTTAGTAAAATACGAGAAAATGAGCTAAAAAGCTAAAATCCCTCTAATTTGTTTTGCATTTTTGTTAGATGGTGTTTTAGCAGTTATCGATTTGAATTATTACACTATTTAAATAGATGATTGTTAGATGGCGTTATTATTAATCTGAATTATAACACTATTTAAATAATGGTAGTAATGATTATAAGGAGCCCTTTTCTGCTTAGGGGTCTTATTTTTAAAGAAGGGAGCAAAGAAGGCAAGGCGGTCCCACTGGTCAGGCTCTTCTTAACGGTACTCCTCGTATCGTTAAGGAAGGGAGCAAAGAAAGCAAGGCGGTCCCACTGGTCAGGCTCTACTTAACGGTACTCCTCGTATCGTTAAGGAAAGAAGCAAAGAAAGCAAGGCGATCCCACTGATCAGGCTCTACTTAACGGTACTCCTCGTATCGTTAAGGAAGGGAGCAAAGAAAGCAAGGCGGTCCCACTGGTCAGGCTCTACTTAACGGTACTCCTCTTATCATTAAGGAAAGAAGCAAAGAAAGCAAGGTGGTTCCACTGGTCAGGCTCTACTTAACGGTACTCCTCGTATCGTTAAGGAAGGGAGCAAAGAAAGCAAGGCGGTCCCACTGGTCAGGCTCTACTTAACGGTACTCCTCGTATCGTTAAGGAAAGAAGCAAAGAAAGCAAGGCGGTCCCACTGGTCGGGCTCTACTTAACGGTACTCCTCGTATCGTTAAGGAAAGAAGCAAAGAAAGCAAGGCGGTCCCACTGGTCAGGCTCTACTTAACGGTACTCTTCGTATCGTTAAGGAAGGAGCAAAGAAAGCAAGGCGGTCCCACTGGTCAGGCTCTACTTAACGGTACTCCTCGTATCGTTAAGGAAGGGAGCAAAGAAAGCAAGGTGGTCCCACTGGTCAGGCTCTACTTAATGGTACTCCTCGTATCGTCAAGGAATTGGAAGTAAAGAAAGCAAGGCGGTCCCACTGGTCAGGCTCTACTTTATAGTACTCCTCATATCGTTAAGGAAGAGAGCAAAGAGCAAGGCGGTCTCACTGGTCAGGCTCTACTTAACGGTACTCCTCGTATCGTTAAGTAGAATCACCAAATTTGAATAGTGCGGACACTCGATCACTGAGGAACTCCATGAGGACTTAAATATTAAACGATGACGTGGAGCTTTGGTAGTAAGATGCAACATGCTAGCTCGCAACGTTTGCAAGGTCCACAAAATGTATCCCGGTAAGTGTACATTCGCACGCCTTAAGAAATTTTACGTCTGTAGCTTTTAGGTCAGCTATACTCATAAACAGCATAGGGATTCGTTAGTCACATTAGTTTACGTGGTAGAGGATCGGCTCGACCGGGTGGTATTCCATTCCATGGAATACCAGCGTCAAATAATAGCTAAATGCTGCTGTGTTTTGTATGGTGTGGTGTAGAGAAACGGAGACCCTTTTTACTGGAAACGAGGCATTCCGTCTTAGTCCTCACGGGTGACAACGTATCTGCATTTTGATTCGTAATTTAGGACAGATGCAGATGTCTATGGGCCACAGCAACCACTTACCATCAGGTGGACTGTGTGCTCGTTTGTCATCCGTTCTTATAAAAAAAATTGTTTAGATTTTGATCTCTAGTTTTCAGTTACGGATCTATAAATGCTCTACGCATTCAGTACAATAATGGCTTCAGTATGCTGATAGGACCGTCTCGCTATTGCAATGTATCAATGAGATGGTTTTCCTGCGGCTAACACGGACAGTTTTGATGCAATAGTCTTTAAGAGAGTTGCCTCCCTGATACGTCGCGTGCGAGACAGTGTCTACAGACTCTTATGTACCGTATTAGCAAGGCTGGATTGCCCGGTGGTGCGGTACTGAAACATTGTAGGGTCTGGGTCCAGAGTTGTTATGTTTAATGTAAAATAATTATGCTCTTTCGCATTTGTGTATTTACTGACATTAAATCAAAAGTTTACGCATGTTATAACTAAAATATGTATAGTTTAAATATGGAATAAAATGATATATTTTTTTATTTATATATTATAATTTGCCTGTACCAGCAACCCACCTTGGCTTTGCCTGGCAACATCGTTTCCGGGACACCTAAGATGATGAGTGAGATTGAGAGTTTCTACGGGTAGCTGCACAAATCATCGTTGGAGCCACACGCAAGTGTGAGTAACAAGCCGAGAGCAAGTCTTACCCGACACTATTCCGAAAATAATCCAGACGCCGTGACAAAGTGCGGTGGGCTTATTCCTCAAGAATGGTGAAAACGCTTTCATGAAAAACTACTTATCGATTTCCCTTCCGAACCGTATCAGCGTGCTATTTTCGAGAGTCATTACGATTCATGTCTTCACTCACTCACGACATTCAGCCTCCTGCATAAGGCGGTTTCCGAAAACGCTTTAAGACCAAAGACTACACATACTCTTCGGCATAATGTAGAGAAGACCGAGGAGTACAATCTGCCACTAAGTCTTGCTTATGTTGCAAGAAAGCCTTTGATTCTGTCGAAATTTGAGCGGTGCTGCAGTCCCTTCAGCGGGGTCAAAATGACTATCGGTATATTGAAGTGCTAAAGTGTTTGTACCGTGGGGCTACAATGGCTATCCGATTAAAGAACCAGAGTACGAAACCTATCCAACTGCACAGAAGTGTAAGACAGGGTGAAGTTATATCCTTTAGAGTTTTCAACGCTGCATTAGAAGACGTTTTCAAGCTACTGGACTAGAAAGGATTCGGTATTAACATCAATGGCCAGTACATCACTCAACTTCGATTTGCCGACGATGTACTCCTTATGACAGAATCGCTGGAAGACCGCTTAGGTCTCCCAGCTCAATGACCTCAGTAGTGCCTCCCCGCAGTCAGGCTTTAAGATGAACATGGACAAAAAAGATCATTTGTAACGTACATGTCACACCTACGCTGGTAGTTGTTAGCAGCACTTAGCTGGAAGTTGTTGCCCAGTATACCTGGGACAAATAGTCCAATTAGGTAAGCCAAACTTCAACCGAAAGGTACCTCGATGGATTCAACTCGAACTCGAAATTACGACACATCTCCTCGTCAGGTAACTCATGGATCTCAGGCATGGACCTTGACTTCTAGCCATCTAGGGAAGCTGAAAATCACTTGCTCAAGATCAGTGAGCTATGGAGAAAGGTTGCTCTGAGTGATAAACTTAGATATATAGTGACTGACCTAGCCCACTGATTAGTAAGCTGAAGTGGCAATGGGCCGGCCATATAGCTCGAAGAACCGACAACGATATGGAAAAAGGTTTAAGGTTTCTTCAGTAGCAGCTTCATACCGGTAGGCAAAATGTAGGACAACCTCCAACTATACGGAGTGACGACCTGCCAAGACTGCAGAAATTCGATGTACGCAGGTGGCTCAGGACCGTGCTTTGTGGCATTCCATAGGTGGGACTTGTGAAAGGCTATAATGATGAATGATGATGATGATGATTAATTTTAAGAAAACTGTGTATTTTACGTACTATGTTGAGAGTCAATCAATTTTTGTTCGATAAAGTGACTGTACTTATAAAATGAAAATGGCTTTATTGCAAAACAATTGCATTCCAAAAAAAAATATTTTGTTATATTCAACATAAATTTAGACTCTAGATGTCTAAAAACAAGGGTTGTAATATATATTTGCTATAAAATAAAACTTTTATTTTTTATTTTATGACGTGATTGTAATTTAAAATTGTCGTATTAAATAAATTATTTGCCGTGAAATATTTTTATAATTTTGTACTTCATTTCTTTTGAAGTTTTCATTTCTACCATGTTTGAATTGCACATTTGTTTGATATTTTATTTATTTAGACTTAGAAATAAACAATCTAAACTTATTTGAGTATACGATTTTGTATCGTTTATTCATGTACTAATTTTGAGGAACGATGAAAAGTGTGTATAATACAAAATATCATGAATATTTGTGACAATTAAGTTTATAAATTTTGAATTTTTCTCATTATTAATAATTTAAAATTGCAACTGTCGAAAAATTAAATGTTCGAATCGCAAAAATTAACCGAATGAAGAAGAAAGAAAAATTTTACTTTTGTGGTAGTGCTCCGCACCAATTATGTGGCACTTAGCGTACAGCACTCCCGGACGACCTCATACCCCATCTTTTCATTATCTGACTTCAGGCAAAATCTTGACGCATCTGTGAATGATTGACTCCAAGCTTCGTCATTCCAATTTTCGTGATTTCAAGCATAATTAACCGGAGCTGCTCAATGGTATGGTGCAAAAAGGGAGCCTCGGCAGGAAAAAAGTAAAGTAAAGTTAAACTGGCAGGAAAGTGTGAATTTATTTAAGTGTGAATAATGCGAGTTTTGTTGTTATATCAGAAGAAGTTGAGATTCGGTTTCTAAGCATGCTGATAATGTATGGTGGTAACGAGAAACTGTTAGTTCTGGCGTCTCTTAGTTATCTGTTTGCATCCCTATCCCGCAAAAGTCATATACTCTCCGATCTGCCGATACCTCTTGACAATTCGGTGTACCACAGATTTTGTAGGTGTGCCCAGTTTCAACAAAAGTTACAGCCCCAGCGACTTGAGTGGCGCTTAGAATCTGGCATCCTCATTTTATTTGGAGTAACAATTTACACTTAACACGATAAACAAGGGAGTCTTGACTAATATTAAAACAAACCTAAATTTAAACTCAATTTCAAAAGTTCGTAAAATTTTCACAGTATGAAAAAACGCAATATTACTGAATCTATCTAGGTATGTTTATTATATACTTTGAAACCATCCAACCGATTTTGATGAATTTTTTGTGCGTGTTTGAACTAGACACTAGATGGTTCATATTTATATTTTGACCCGCTGTTATCGATATCCAGAAATCACCCATGCGAATACGGTGTGGATCGCTACTAATTACATTATTATTATATCTGTCTCTTTTTAAATGAAATTAGAAAGAAAAAACATTCCAAAACTTTGTTTTTTTATACCATTTACTAATATTTGTGGCCAGTACGTGCGATCGTAATAACACGAGAAATTAAAAAAATTGCGTTCTTCTAACTTTGTCCATGATCATATGTATACAATATAATACTAATTGAAATTCAATATTTATTACCAGTCGTTTGGTAAATAACTCCTCCCCAGGAAGAATTAACAAGAAACCCAGATGAATGTCTATAGTTTGGAATATGACTTACCAGGAATTTTTAGAGGTGACGGTGGATCGTCGTCATAATCTCCCATCTCCCCTAGAAAAAAAAATACAATTACATTACAAAATTGTTTAATCTTAATATATAAAATTGCCACCTGATTAAAACTTATTTTTGATGGATTGTAAGCATGTTTGTATCTTTATTTATTAAATATTATATTTATTATAATCATTATATATTTATTATATTAAATAGAGTATATCTAGATCTGCAAACCAAGAATTCATATTTATAGATATTTTTGACTCAGGTCGAGAATTTGAGCCAGCAATAAACTTTGAGTTCGTCAAAGCAATTATTGAGTTTAGAAATATCTCGCATACGTATCCAGTCTAGTTCTAATATTTTCGAGAAATATCAAGTCAAAAGGGCTAAATAGAAGATGCTACCGTTACCATTACAGTCTGTTAATATCTACTGATAATCATAGGCCTCCCCCTAGATTGCCTCATAGGGGGATACTTGTCGCAGCGTAGCCAGCAGGTTGGCCACTTCAGATTCTTTTTATTTTTAGCCGTTTTCAGAAAAACGCTGCTGTCCATCTCTTGATTTGTATCCCTCTGTCACTTCTTTCTACACCCACGAGATGAGATAGGATAAGGAATTCGCACACCCCCACTACACGGTTGCTACAAATGATGCTAAAGGCGAATTAATTGTTGTTAGTTGTTGAATTAATTTTTGTTTTCTCTGACTGCTTGACGATGCAGTCATTATCGTCAGACACGCCAGAAAACCATCAGTCAAGCTGGATATGAGCATCTCCACGAGATCTCTTATATTTGGAAGAAAGTGCCCAACTGTGCTATGTTTACGAACTGGTAATTATATGATCTTTTCAGACGTCTCGCACCTCCGCCTCTGATCCTGCTTCTGACTGACGATTCACGCAAAAACTATTATATATATGCAGTTAATGACCCTGGCCTACACATAACGCACTTTTTATGTAACTGTGATGTGCAAAAAGCATGTTTATTTTATGTCTTTCTCCTATTATATTTATTTTCTTAATAGTTCCTAATGGATTGTTTTGGTAAACGATTTAATTTTTTTATAGGATAGGGAGGCAAATGAGCACACAATTCACCTTGTTATGAGCACTAAGCTCGAAGTTGTTGCCGAGTATGTTTACCTGGGACATATAGTTCAACTAAGTAAGTCCAAATGGATGGAGTCCACTGAGAGGGCAATCGACAGATTAAACTCGATTTCGAAATTACGACACATCTCGTCAGGTAAACCTCAAAACGAGATTGCACAACTAGTTCGTGTTTCCAGTGATAACTTATGGATCTGAAACGTGGTTTTTAACTGCTGGCCATCTGAGGAAGCTTAAGGTCATTCAGTGAGCTATGGAGAGGGGTTTCTCTTCTTGATAAACTTAGAATTTAGAATATCCACAGCAGAAACCGACAACTACGAGGAAAAATATTCTTGTATATTGTGGCAGCCTCGTACCGGTAGGCAAAATGTAGAACGACCCCCAACTATATAGAGTGACGACCTGATAAGACTGCAGGAATTCGATGGACGATATATATGGTTACTTGCAGGTCATTTTTAATAACAGACACTTGATGAATTGTGCAGTAAAAACCCCGCAGATTGCTAACCTGCAGCGCCATCTGGCGCATATGACGATTTTAATCGATTTTATTTGCGGTATCAATGTACCGGCCCGGCAGACGTGTGAGTCTACCAGTCCAAGTAGTAATTAAAAATAGGTCAAGGAGCTATGCGCGCTACAATACATGCACATTGAATCAATTTACAAATTATAAATTATCTTTAACAGTACTTTAGAAAAAGTATCTATTATCCAGCAGATTTGATAAAAGATTTAGGCATTCTATACCATTCAAATCTGAACTTATATGTTCAAATCAACCATATAACGAATACTCGTAAAGCGCATCAAATGTCCAAACTTGTTGTACGAACGTGTAATTGTTTTAAAAGATCCTAAGTATGGAATTATTATAAAAATATACTGAGCTTCTAGAATCATTACAGGGAAAGTATTTTTGCATTGTAAATTATAAATGTTTCAACGCTAGAACATCTTACCACAACTAATTAAAAAGTTTTCAATGTATACTTAGTAAGGTCATAAGTTCTGTCAAAAACTTTTTATAAAATTAATGATACACTTTTTGATAATTATATAGGAAAAATATATACGAAATGAAAGGTAATTTAATTTAAAATTAAATTTTATTAACATTATTCAAAATGCCCTTCCCTATTTTGAATACATGTCCTTAATCGACGCGGCAAATCATAAATCGTAGCGTGCACCACACTCTTATCTATTCCTGCAGCCGCTTTAGCCAAAGATGCTCGAAGAGATTCCAAATTCTGATGAGGTTTAGCGCAGACTTTCTCCTCCAAATGTTGCCATATCTTATAATCTAGTGGGCTTAAATCTGGACTAGAAGAGGGCCAATCTTTAAACATTGTTTGAGAAAGAGGTTCCACTATGTTTTTTAGGACGGTATTTTGTTACACTTTGGCACTGGTTTTTACACCTTTTTCACAAAATAAACATCTCAGTTAAGCCTGAATATGAGACTCCAATCCATACCATGAGTGACGAAGGATAGTGTGCTCGTTGAACCCTCGGAATACGCATGCTGGCTTCTTTACTGCTGTGAGCATACACCTTATCATTTTATTTATTATAACTTTCATCGATGTCGAAAACAAAATTTCGAGGTATTATTTTCCCGCGTACCGCCGTAACAAAGCGCGGGATCTATCCAGCCTTATATTTTTCAAACGTTTGTTCAAAAAATGTCCGGTCTTCTTACGATAAGCTCTTAGTCCTAGGTCTTCAGAGATCACTCTTTTGACCGTGGTTCTGATTAAGCCAATCTGAAGAGCTAGGATTTTTTGTTTACGAACAGGATTTCGTTGGATTCGCGCCCTCACTGCTGTGATGATCCCGTGTGTCTAACTGTACGAGTTCGGCCGGTTCTCGTACGATCTTCGAAACTTAATTTTCATTCATTTTCAAATATGGAGTGGTCGAAGAAAGAAGATAAATTAGCGGTTATCGCGTTGCACCGCTGTGGTTACACGCCAAAAGAGATTTTCAATATTCTACACAAATTGAAAATAGCCCTACGATTTGTTTATCGCACTATCAAACGATTCACTGAAGATTTAATGTGTTTTTATTTTCGGCAAGCACAAGCGTTATATTTTTTAAATTGGTGAAGTTCATCTAGCCATTATTCAAAATTTTTAAATAATAAGGTTTTGACAGATCTTATGACGCAACTAAGTACTTAAAAAGCAAGAAAATAAACTTTGCTCATATCTTATTATACAAAATGATTTAGATTGTATTGAACTACTTCACAAAATATACATGAACACATCAACAAAATCTATGGATACCTTAATCCTAAATTATTTACGACTTTATAGATTGAAATCTTTTGAGTTTCCATAAAAAGTTTATATACAGAATAAAACCTTTGTTATTCTACTTTCAAAAATTTTAAATGGAAATAAAAAAAAAATGCGGCGGCACCATTGTAAAAATTCGATATGTCAAGGAAAATTAAATTTGTTCTACTGATATTAACTAACGAAAAGGGATTAGATTGATTTCCTTTTTTATTTTAACGTGTCGTGTGTGCTTTAAGAGTCATCAACAAAAACATCAAGGTTGTGGTGCGGTTGGTGTTATCTCAGTACTGGGGATGTGGCTGAACGGCACACGGATAGGTGTCGTGTAACTGCGCAGAAACAGGATCGATTTATCCAAATGATCACCAGAAGACAACTCAATATCATAACGATGCAACTACTACAAAGGCTCCAGGAGCACCACCAGCACCATAAGCGACTACACCATGCGAAGGCGGTTGCATTAAGTTGGTCTTCATGCTCTAAGACTGCTACGTGTTCAAGCATTGCGACGTGGCAATCGCGGCCGGCGGATTTCGCGGGCTCGGGGGCATTATATATGAAGTGACCAACAACGGTCTTTGGTGCTGTTCACCGATGAGTCCCGGTTTGGGTTTCATCCGCATTAACGAAAAATACGCGTTTTGTGAACTCCAGGGAGAGTTAGCCGTCTACGGCACCCTCTGGAGATCCACTCATACTCCATAATCATGGCGTGGACAGGTCTTGGCGGACGAACACAGCTCTTTTGAATCCAAGGCAGCATGACTGCACAAAAATACCACGAGGAGGTATTAGAGCCTGTTGTGGTCCCACACAGAATCTAAATAAGCCGAGAATTTCTACTCATGCACGATAATGCTCCTTCCCTTAAGGCACGGCTCGTGTCAGCCGCTCTACGAGACTACGATATTCAAGTTTTGGATTGGCCTGCACAGTCGCCCGACTTAAATCCAATTGAACATGCCTTTGACATGTAACAATGAATTGCTTTGAGAGGTTTTCCTTTATTATAAATTTTAAAAGGCAATTAAAAAAATTACATTTTTATTTAAAACAAAATAATGACGAATTTTTTTAATTTTATATTAAATACCTTAAAATAATCTATTATTCTTCTATTTACTATATCAAAAAATTCTTCATAGATTTTTAGATATTTGATGAAATATAAAATATCCCTATATGCTATTGATGTGTTTATATCCATGTCCCTAGTCGTTCTCAACATCTCAACGCATTAGTGATAACATGTACACACATAAATTGTTTGAAATGCAGGTCAACCAACGCTCCACTAGACGCATTATAAAAGTAGTACCCGGTTGACCGAGCTTTGCTCGGTATTTTTCGCTCGGTTTTTTTTAATTGGTGTGTTTTGGAAATTATATTTAGATACAAATTACATACTGATGAAATACGAATAATATTTTTTGATCTTAGCGACATAATAGAAAAAACTGAACTGGTTATTTGAATAAAAAATCATGAGTGCAATTAGTTTAATTAAAATTTTCGTGTTTTTAAAAAATACTAAAACAAGGGCTCGATAAAATAGATTTTCTCAAAAAAGAAAGGAACTCGAAAAAAAATTAAAAAAAGTCGGTCGGTCG